CATTGCCATTTTCCATGCTCTTCTCGCTCGTCCGTGTGAATGGGAGGAGCTGTCACTGTCCCCGTCCGCACGGTACTCACAGGGCCCACTGTTGGCATTTAGCAGCTCGCCGCTGGTGAGGGCCGGGGCGGCCAGCTCTTGCCTGTGCTGGACCGAGGGGCTCAAGCCTGCAGAGTGTTGACTGGTGGACGGACAGACAGACTGCCCGGTGGATGGGTGGATGCCCACCTCCCAGCTCTGTGGGAACCCGCTGCTGTGGGTGGACCAGAGTGTCTCCCCACTGGAGGGGGTAGGAGGCCGGCCCACTCTCTGCCGTGGGGGACTCCTGCAGGACTCCTGCCTGGCGATCTCTGTCGAGGGGACCCCGTGGTGGGAACAGCTGATTTCCTGCCCAGTCTGGCCTGTGCTGCAGGAGAGGCGGCCTCACGCGGCCTTGGCCAATAGCCATACTCACCAGCTGCCTGTTTCTTCCACACCCTGAGGTCAGTCCCCTCTCTGAACTTTTGTGCAATGCTGTTCCTTCTGCCTGCTGCGCTGTGCCCCAGGCAAGCGTGTTCCAAGTCTGGCTGCTCCTCATCCATCAGGATCTTGTTGCAAACGTTGCCTCCTCCGAGAAGGCTTCCCTGATTACGTGGCTAAGTAAGGCGGGTTCTCTATTGTGTGCCATCCTCACCCCTTCGGGTTTTGGTTTGCTGTCTTTGTGGCCCTTATGTTGTACGTAATGATTTGTCTTCATACTTATTAAACTACTTGATTAATTAATTATTGCATCGATATCTGCTTTCGTCCCCCACCCTATCAAGCTATAAGCCCCGTGAAGGCAGGGGTGGTAACCGTGTCTCGGAGCCCAGTGTGAGGCCTGGCCCTTCGCAGGTTTGTTGAGTCAGTCAGTGAAGCACATTTACTGAGAAGCCACATAACGAAGACATAAAGCATGGTCTCCCGGAAGTGGGTTCAGGTCCTGCCTCTGGCACTCACTGGCCACACACTCTGGGATAGGCTACTAAGCCTCTCCGGGCCTCAGTGTCCTTGTCTGCAAGGATAGCACCGCTTCACGGGGTTGCCATGGGGATGAAATGAAATCTACAGAGTTTAGGGGGAGGGCTTCTGACCTAACGAGGCGCCCAGGAGACTTAGCAGTCAGTATCTGTGGTTGAAGAGCTGCATGACTTTTGAGGTTCAGAGGTTCAGAGGCAGATTTCCAACAGGGGAAGATGGGGTAACTCCAGGAGGGCTTCTTGGAAGACGGGGCATTGGAACTGGGCTGCCAGTGGAGTGGCTCGGATCTCTAGGCAGAGTCGGGGGTGGGGAGAGCAGGAGGGGGGGCATTCCTGACCCCCGTATGCAACCCTGGGTGGGGGGCCCGTCTGGTCCATCCTGGGCTGTGACTGACGCTCTCGGTGCCTCTCCCTGTTCCAGGCCCCCCGTCTCCTGCCCCTGGTTTGCACCCCTTTTCTGTGCCCGCGTTTGGCTGCTGAACAGGCAGTGCCGAATCAGAGGAGGCGGGAGAATCGGCTGAACATGCCCCCAGAGGAGGTCACTCGCCCCGATCCCGGCCCTGGAAGAACTCGTCCACTCAACACGGGGCGAACCTGTAGGGCACCCCCAGGACGGTCCCAGGCCGGATCCCGCGGTGTCACGACATGCCGAGGATGTGGCCTGATGCCACCGACGCACGTGGATGTGGGCAAGCCACACGGACTCTCTGGGTCGCCCTCCTTGTCTGTACATGGGGAAAAGCAGGCCTCTGGGTTGCTGGTACGTAAAACGAGGCCTTCAGTCTGCACGGCATACTTCAGAGTGGGAAGCCCCTCCCTGCCCGCCCCCCTCTGTGGTCCATTTGAAAACATGGAGGATGGGCCCTCTTCTTATCCCCCTTGCACAGACGGGGGCTCTGAGACTCCGAGAAGGGCCCTGACCCGCTCTGCACCGCTCGCTAGGGAGGGGCAGGCCCAGGACCGGAGCCGGGTCCCCTGACCCCCACGCATTGCGCAGACAGAGGACCAGGGGCAGATGGAGCCTGGAAGGTGAGTGCGACCGAGTATGCAGAGGATGAAGAGCGAGCTCACGCTGGGAAGCAGGGTGACGGCCTCGGCTGCTCTCCTCCTCTTTTCTGAAGAGGGGAAGCCCATCCCAGCACCGCAAGGATGGGGGGCTGACCTTAGGGAGCTCCGGAGCTGTGGGCTTGGACATCACATCTGGCCAGGGAGATTACCTTCTTCCAGACGTGGCCCAGATGAAGGAAGGTTTGCGGATTGTTGCTTAACGTTCCCCACCCTTCCCAACACAGCACCCTCCCCGACACACACACACACACACACACACACACACACACACACACATTACAGAGTGGCTCCCACCCTGGCCAGGTGGCTCAGTTGGTTGGAGCATTGTCTGTACACCAAAAGGTTAAGGGTTCAATTCCGGGTCAGGGCACATACCTAGGATGTGGGTTCAATTCCCAGTGGGGACGTGCTGGAGGCGGTCAGTCTCTCTCCCTCTCTCCCTCCCTCAAATCAATAACCAAGTTCTCCGGGGAGGACTAAAACCAGAAGTGCTCCTGCCTCACAGGGTGTACCGAGGAGCCGGGGTCCTGGATGAGGGGGCCTAGAGGCCAAGCTCCTCGCCCCACAAATGCCCCTCAGATGCCTGCCCTAGCAGGACACTTCCCTGCCCCACCCCATCCCTCCTTTTGCCTCTGAGAGGCACTCAGAGGATGCGAAGGCATACATGTCTTAATGTAACAGATAGCCCGAGGTGCAGAGGCGCAGCAACCCTCCTGGTGCGCCCAGCAAGGGAGGGTTTGACCCCAGGGCTGCAGCCCCACCCCTGCGCCTGGCTCAGCAGGGCTCCGTGATCACATCACATGCTGGGCGCCCTGAGGGAGGAAAGGGGCGGGGTGGAGGGATGGAGTGTGGGTGTCGGGAGCCGGGTAGTCACCAGTGGGTCACTGGGACTCCCCCAGTGTCCTTATCAGGGTGGGAGGCCTCTCTGGGTCACGAGCGCAGCTCTCAGGGCCCTGGGGAAACTCCAGGGCTTGGGGAGGAGGCTGGCTTCTCAGACACGTCTCTCTGGGCACCCCCTCCCCTGTGCACAGCCTGTGGGGGCGGGGGACACAGCATCCTGCCGCCCAGGGCAGAGCGGAGGCAGTGTCAGCAGTCGGAAATTCGCTGGGAGGAAGGGGTGCAGGGGTGGTGTGGGGATTAGGAACACCGGGGGCCCTGGGCCAGCCTCCACGTGCGGGTCTGACCTGGGGCCAGTGGCAGGCCCGCCCTCAGGACTGGAGCTCTCCAGCCCCTCGCTGGGGCTGGGTCCACCTTTGCTCCCACCTGCCCATCTGTCCATCTGTCCTTCCTTCACCTCCTTGGTCTCATCTCTACCGCAACTCCATTCACCTAGACCCACCCCCTCCTCGCTCCGGAAACACACCGAGCACCAGCCCACCACAGGGCCTTTGCACGTGCCACCCCTGCTACCTGGAATTGTCCTACTCCGGACACTGCAAGTCTACCTCCCTTGTCACGTTCAGTCTGTGCTCAAGGGTCACTCCATCGTTCTTCCCCTCCCCCTGCTTTATGTCGCTCCTAGTTCTTCCCACTGGGTATATTTTGCATTTATTTGCATATTAATGTATTAGCTATCTCCTCCCAGCTCTAAGAGGGCAGAGCCATTTGTGCTTTGTCCTCTGCTGTGTCCCCAGTGTGTAGGACAGTACCTGGCATATAGCAGACCCGCGAGAAACACCTGCTACATGCATGGCTGAATTCATCCACTTGTCTGTCCGTCCGTCCGTCCATCCATCCATCCATCCATCCTCCATTCCTTCCTCCTACATTTTCTCCTTAACCCACCAGTCACCTGGAATGTCCCCGCACTGGGTCCTGAGCTGGGCTTGGGTCTGGCGACCTGGCAGGGCACACAGATAAGGAAGCCATGATGGGGACACTGGGGGACGGGTCCCAAGTGAGAGGAGCCCGGGGAGCTTCCGGAGACACGTGGGGGCGGGGGACATTTCCCAGAGCACCCAGAGACTCAGTGCCTCGCTGGGGCCCGCACCTGCCCGGCACGGACTTTGTTAAATGAACCAACCAGTGGCTTCTAGCGAGAAGTAGTGGCTCAGCTCTCAATGTGGGGCACACCGGGGGTGGGGGCGGGAATCAGAAGCCCCCTGGGGGCGTGGGAGCCTGGGTAGGTGAGAGCTTTGGAAAGCTCCCTCCGGAGAAGTGCTGGTTTGTCGGGGCCTGAAGGGTGGAGCTGGGGATGGCCAGGCGGGGCTGGGGGCCAGTGGTCCAGGAGCGGGCTGGCCAGCATCTCCATGGGGCCTCTTGGGTGGGGCAGAGGCTGCCTTGACCGCTCCCTTTTGTACCCCCCACCTCCAGTACCTGGAGCAGCTGCCCCCGTCCGTTCCCGTCCCGGCCCCCACCCTGTGTCTCTGTTCTGGCTTTGTGTCCTGCAGGAGGCTGGGTGTCCGGAGAGCAGGCTCCTCATTCCCTGCCCCGTTCCGCACTCCCCTGAGCCCCACGTCTCCCGCCTCCAGCCATCTGCGGGCTGTTGCCTTGCTTTTACTGCAGGCAGGTCAGCCTGGGCCCAGACTTCAGGTGGGGCCTGAGCTCAGGGAGCAGGCAGGAGGGAACTCGCAGAGTTGCTAATTACATATGGGGAGTGGCACCCCCCCAATTGCCCTGGGGGTGCTACTGAGGCTCAGAGACATCCAGTCTCTGGTGCCCCCCCCCACCCACACACAGGCTCATCCAGGATCCACCGATGGGCCCATAGCCCATGCGTCCCTGAGTGGAGGTGCCAAAGCTCTTGGAGGGCTAAGGTGAGGGGTGAGGGGTGCTCAGCACCCAAAGGGCCAGGGCGGTCAGCTCCTGCATGGAAACCCAGGAATGAGAGAGGGAGGTGGCAGCCGTGGCTGTGGAGCCAGCCGGAAATGGTGCAAGACAAACGGGCGGAGCCTCAGCCTCACCTGTAACCGCGTACCCAGACAAGTTCAGACTGGGAGCCGGGAGCCCGGGAGGAGGTGGGAGGGGAGGAGGCAGCGTCTGCAGTCAACACACAAAGGTAAGAAGTTGCTCTTCTGGGTGGGGACAGGGGGAAGAAAGGTCAACGGGGTGTGACTTCCCAGTGTGTCCTACTTGACCTCGGCTGGCCCCAGGTCTAGTTCAATGTCCTGAAGCCGCATGTGAGGCCTAGCCCTGAGCCTGCTCAGGGTTCTGGGCTGGTTTGGGGGCCCTGGCTGTCCTAGGCTTGCTCCCTGTTGCTCTGAGTGTGAGCTGGGCGTGTCCACGTGGTGCCCAGGGGAGCTGGCAGGGTGCGGGGTGTGTTCCCAGGGCCCGGATGAGGGGGTTCCAGATGTCGAAGGCCAGGGGGAGGCTGTGCACACTGGTGCTTGGATGGGGAGGCAAAGCCTGTGCCTACTGGGACCCACACTTTGCCCGTCCCCCTGCACCGGGACCTGCTGGGATCCCATGGGAAACCGGTTTGGGAGCAGGTTGGCCTGGGTTGTTTAACTTTGCACAAGGAGGAGGAAGGCAGCCTTGCGGTCAGCTCAGTGGAAGGGGCGGTGTCCAGGCCTGCGGGGGAGTCTGCCCCGTCTGGCCAGCCCGGGTTGCTTTGGCCTCGCCCCAGCCCCTCTCCCAATAGCACAGCTCTTCCCGTCCTGGCTGTGAGAGGCAGGAGGCGCAAGCCAGACTGTGTCATGATGCACCGCTTGTGCTCTCTGGGACAGGCCACTGCGACGAGACTCCTGAACAGCGGCCAAGGACACGCCAGGATGGGGTGGGGGGGCCTTGGTGGAGGAGAGGGCTCGGCCCCACTAGTGCCTCCCGGGGCTGCCTCCTCACCAGGCACAGGGGAGGCGGGCAGGGGCAGGGGTCTGCGTAGCAACAGTCCCCCAACCCCAGCCCCAGGCTTCCCCCGCTGCCCCCACCCCTGCAAACCCAGTCTCCTGGCCCCACGTGTCAGCCAGACAGAGGTGGGTGGCTGGAGTCGGTGGGGCCCTGGCGCCCGGCCAGCTCCGCCCCTACAACGTGGCTCCCTGGGGTGTATGGGCAGAACACCCCCACCCACGTTCCCTCTGTTAATTAGGCCACCCCTGCTAATGAGTAGCTATCATCCTTTCTCCATTACGCCTCCTGAGCCATCTGCGCCCCAGCACTTAGCGGGAGACCCGGGGGCACCCCGGCTGCCGGGCCAGAGGCACGGCCGAGGGAGGCACTCCTGGGTGGCATCCCAGGGTGCGGCTGGGTGCTCCGCGGGCTCTCCGGTGAGCTCACCCAACTCCGACTCTTCATTTACCGAAAGAGGAGAGGTGGCTGTCCTGGTTTTCATGTAGAAGGACCCTGAGGCGCCCTCTTCGTGACTCCCCAGGGGGTCCCCAGCAGGCCACACCCTAGCACAGCTCGGTGCTGGGCACCGGTCGGCGTGTGTGCAGGGGCAGGGGATGGGGCACGAAGGGGGTCAAAGGCAAGATTCTGGGCCCCGTGGACCCTGTGGCAGTGGCGTGAGATGGCACACCATCACCCTCAAGACAAAGCGAGGGCTGCCCTCTCCGCATCCGCGGTGCTGCCTTGTGGGGACTCCCTGCACCTCTCTGGGCCCCGTGTGCCTCCCTTGGCGTGGGAGTGACCGTGCCTCGTTGCCCGACCACAGGCGCCTGGACCAAGCTGTGGGTTGCTCCCCAAACCTCCCGGGGCAGGGCCGAGGGGGCCACGGAGACAGTCACAACCGTGGGGACACCAGCAGCAGCAAGGACGGCCCATCTGGGACCTCCGGCCTGGGCGGCACCTCTGGAGGAGATGGAAGCCTGGTCCACTCTCTGTGCTGGGGGAATTCGCATTTAAAAGACACCCTGGGAAAGCGGCAGCGCCTTGATTGTCTGGCCTGCCAGGCAGGCCTGGCTCCGTTTTACACCTGTGTGGGGGTGGGGGGCACTGAGGTGCAGGCAGCTCAGAGCTGGCAAATGGGATGCCAGGTCCCATGCTTTGCCGCTTTGGGGGCTTGGGGGGAATGCTGGGGAGAGTCCAGGTGGGGCAAGGAACAGTTAGGAGCCTCCCATCACCGGGTCTCCTTTGGGCCTCAGCAAAGTGCCACTGCCACCGTCACCCCCTGAGGAGGGACTGCACTTCTGGCTGCAGAGGCTGAGCTCACCCAGCTCCAAACCCCTGAGCTGCAAGGGCGGGCTGACAGGCATGGATGGCTAGGGCCTCACCTGAGCACCCTGGGCCCCTGGATGCACGGCCCTGCCCCAGCTGCCTGCGGCTGGGGTGGCCCAGGCTGACCGGCATGGGACAGGGAGAGGGCTTCTGGCCCACCTTTGGTGGGCCCGTCCTTGCCCTGGTCTCCGGAACTTCGGAAGGCTGGGAGGTAGGTATGTGGCCACAGCGACCTTCCAGGCCTGTTCTGGCTGGATCCAACCCTCCTGCCAAGTGCATGCGGGGGCTGGGCCAGGGGTCAGACATTCCGTCATGTGTAGGAAGAGAGGGCGGCTGCCCCGTTTACCCTCTATCTCGGGCAGCTGGGCACCCAGGCGTGCCCGCCTCCGGGGGAGGTCAGCAGGGCCGGCCCCGGGAGGCCCAGCCAGCCCGAACTCTATCTGAGGACCTGCGTTCCAAAGTGCCCCCTCCCCCAGGACAGGAGCAGGGTGACTGTAGCAGGGGTGATGTCTGTCTGCCTTCCCGTCTGGGCTGGGCCCAAGGTCACTGCTTATTGGCAAGTGGTCAAGATGCCAAGTGGTCAGGGAACCAAGAAGGGGGAGGGAACCGGTCCTCAAGTCAGGTCCCGGCTCGCATCCTGTGTGACCTTGCACCAGCCCCCCTCCCTCTCTGAGCCTCAGTCTGCTCCTCCGGCACCTGACGGGGTGTGGGAGAAAGCATCAAGTCCTTTGCCTTCCAGGCCGTGCGTGCTCAACAGGGGCAGGTGGGCTCCGGGTCCGCCACCTGCTGGGGACAGGTGTTGACGCGGGAGCCTGGCTGGCATCCGGGAGTGACTGGCTCTTCCTCACAGGCTTCAGAAACCTGATCCAGGTAAATGCGGGCAGGGCCCCTGCCTGGGCTCCACCCCAGAGGCAGCCAATGAGGTTGAGTCTGTTCTGGGAGCTCCAAATAAGGTCTCGGAGAGCTGGCTTGGACCTGGGCCTTTCATGTGCTGATGTTGTGGGAGCGGAGCGGGGCGGCACCAGCCTCTGGCCCCCCAAGCCTAGGCCTGAGCCGCCATTAGCCGAGCGCTATTCTAACGGCCAACAATCCCTCCTGCTCTCCTCGCTTCTTGGATTTGTCAGGCGGCCTGCTTCGTCTCCAGCTGGGGGACGAGCAGGGAGTAGGGGAGGCAGGCCCAGGGCACAGGGCACACAGCTTCCTTTGTGACTGTGGCTGAGTCACATGGGCAACGCCAGCCCCTGGGCCCTGGGGCGGGTGTGATGGGAGATGGCGTTGTTGTGGGGCTGCGGCTGCCCCCACGCCTGCGGCCAGGAAGCTTTCCCACGGGAATGTATGGGGAGGTGGCTGGGAGCACTGGCTGAAAAGCATGTTGTCTGGATCCCAGGACCTGGGTTCAAGTGCTGGCTCTACTGAAGATGTGTTGTGAAGCTCTGGGAAGGGTCTCTCCGAGCCTCAGTTTCCACCTCTGCGAAATGGGAACAACCGTCACTGTTCTGTAGAAGGGATACTGGACACAAAAGGGCTGTGTGCACTGTGGCTGTTCGGCAGTTGTGTTGACTTTATTTCTTTTTTTTAAAGACTTTATTTATTTATTCTTAGACAGAGGGGAAGGGAGGGAGAAAGAGAATGAGACAAACATCAATGTGTGGTTGCCCCTCGTGCGCCCCCTAGTGAGAACATGGCCCCGCAACCCAGGCATGTGCCTCGACTGGGAATCGAACCGGTGACCCTTTTGTTGGCAGGCCAGCATCCAATCCACTGAGCCACACCAGCCCCAGGGCTGTGCTGACTTTATTATAATCATAATTGTAACCAAACAAGAACAGAGGTTTGGCTGCGTGTTGCCACAAAAGCCACACGTGCGAGACAGGTGCTAGTGCCAAAGGAAGCAGGTTTTATTCAGGTGCCGTGCAGCCTGGGAGGATGGGGGAGTCCCGTCTCAGAGCCAGTCTCCTCTTTCTGCCCTGGAAAAAGCCCAGCCGCCCTCAGAAAGACCAAGACAGAGGCCAGTGTCCAGAGGTCCTGCTCCGTTTTGAAGTACAGTCCCAGGGGCAGTCTTAGTCCCCGTCCAGGCAGCTGCGCTTGCCCCCAGCGGCCACCCTCTCAGGCTCCCTCCCGGATCCTGCGTGTGGAGCCCACACGGCCATGGGCTGAGCGGCTGCTGGAGCCTCATGGTCACACGCTCATCACCAGGCGGGCAAGAGAAAGTGAGAGAAGCTCCCCCCTGGAGACCAAGGGCCACATGGGTGCTGAGGCCGTGGGCCGCGGCGTTGCTAAGGCACCATGCAAATCCTGAGCCAGAAAGCTTCTTTGTTCCCCTGGGATTATCTTAGCTTGGGTGTGGGACGGACCAGGTACTTTCTCAAGATGACCAATCAACTCCCCAAACTTCCGTGCGCGTTGAGTGGGTCCACCTCCCAACCCGTCCCCTCCTGCCTCATGCTATACTGACTGACGGGTCTCTGTGGACCAGCTCCTCCCCCTGTGCCATTTTGACTTTAATGGTCCAGGTGCCTGCCTTCCCCTGGAACCACCCCCAATCTGGTACTGGAGTGGGGTAGACTTTTTTTCCTCTGTCCAATGGTCTCTGTGTGAGAACCTCCCCTGCCACCATCTCGGCCACCGGGAGAGACTCCCCGGCACTCCGAAAGTCTGCTTTACGGTCACGTGATCACGTCTGCTCCACGTTTGTGGAGCATCACCGCTGTGTGCCAGGTGTGGTGCTCAGTGACGTACAAGGCCACTCAGCTTGCAAGGAGAGAAGCCTGGACTCGAACGCTCTTGTCCAATAAAAACTCACCTCCAAACAGGCAGGGCTGGCCCGTGACCCTTCCCACCGGTGGCACAGTTCCGTGCTGTTTGCAAGGCTGGCTCACCCTCCGGCTGGAGCCTTAGAGACGGGGAAGGGTGAGGCCTCCGGCAACAACGCCGTGTCCTCCCACTGGCCCGGGCCTCTGTCCCAGTGGGCACCACGGACGTCCCTTTCTCTTACCCATTTCTCTGGCCCTGGGGTCCTCGCATGCTCCCAGACCTCCCACCTTCCCGGTGGTCCCATTTCTATCGCATTTGCAGGCCGCTCTGAACTATCAAACCCTCACAAACACATCGGGGGGTGCTCATCTGGGCCTGGGCCAGGAGCTTTACATGCGTGTCCTCCTTTATCATTACTGGTGGCGCCGTTACGGTCCCCACTTAAGTCACCCAGCTGGCAGAGCCGGGAGTCAGAGCCACTTGGCCTGAGTCGAGAGTAAGTGCGGCCCCCTCTCTTCCACCCTCGAAAAGAGAAGTCCTTCTGGACTCCCCACCTTGTCTCTGGCCACTGTTACCTCCAGCAACGCACATCAATGTTTCTCTCTCTCTCTCTTTCTCCCTCCCTTTCCCGCTCTGTAAAAATAAATAAATAAAATCTGTAAAAAAAAAAAAAAAAAAGAAAGAAAAAAGGAAAAAAAAGACCCAGCCAGGGCTGGGGTCAAACCCTGGCTCTGTCCCTGCAGGGCGTGGCGAGCCCCTCCCTACTTTGTGCCTCTATCCCTGTCCCCTGAAGTGGGGTAGTGACTGTTCTGAGAACCGGAGGAGGCAATGACTATGAAGAGCCCAGGAGGACCTAGGAGGTTCGAGCCCACGCATCAGGAGGCCGGGCCACATACCAGCTGTGTGACCTTGGCTGCGTGACCTTGGCAGTGTTACTTTGTTTCTGCCCTACCAGTGGGACCCCCGCCACAGCACGGGGAAGGTGAGATCAGAGTGACCCACGTGAAACAGACGGTTGTTCTCGGTGTCCCTGTGGACTCGGCGGCTGCCCTCGGGCCCGTCAGGAGGACTAATGGTAGGCAGTGTTGTGATTAACAATAATTTATTTGGATCCTCTCCTTTGACTCCCGAAGCCTTCTGGGAGCTCTGTGGTGCCAGTAACTGGCTCGCTGCTGTCACCCTGATGTGAGTCAGGCTTGGAGCTGAGGCCTGTTCCCCACCCTCACCCAGAGTCTGGCACAGCACCCAGCACATAGTAGGTCTCTGAGAAGCCCGATGGTGAAAGGGCAGCCAGAGCTGGGCCAGCCAACCACTGCCCTGGCCAGGCAGCCTCAGAGGCCTGGCCAGGCCTTTCCTGTGTGGCCAGGGTGGCAGCTGACTCCAGGTCTCTGTGTCCCTTGCTTGGGCAGCCAGCCCGGCAGGACCCTGCCGTGTGCAGAGAGTGGCGCCTCCAACTCTGCATCTGTGCCCTGCTGGCCAGCACCCTCTGGTTGGGGGCGGGGGTGGGGGGTGTGGCTGAGGGTAGCTGCCCTGCACGCCTGGGTCCCAGGGAACAGCTGAGGCTGACCCACCTAGCAGGTGGCTGAGCCCTGAAGGACAGACCTTGGGGAAACTGAGACTTAGAGGTGGTGACTTGCCTCCTGAAAGGTAAGGGACTCCCCATCCTTTCCTGGAGAACTCCCTTTTGCCCCCTTATTTCTTGGTCCTCCATGGTGGGCCGGCCCCTCCAGCCCTGATAACGGAGTGTCCACGTGGCCCTAGGAGGGAGCGGCAGGCCAAGGGCCCTCCCCTCAGTGGGCGTGAGCCGCAGTCTAGACAGCCCGCTGCTGGGCAGCTTTATTGCAGTTCTTCCTCCCTGCAGCCTGGTTTATGCAGGCAGGTGAGGGGTATCCCCACCTGCAACAACCCCGCCCCCCCGAGGCTGCCTACAAAGTTCCACGCAGGCTGCCCCAGACAGGTTTCCTCCTCTTTCAGGGAAGGGACCCGCAGTGCCCCGAACCCGAGTTTGCACTGTGTGCGGGCCCCACCCCGGAGGCCGGAGCAGGCTGCATTTGTGAGTGATCGGGACAGCCAGTGTGCAGCCGGGCCACTGGGCTCCGCCCCAACTTCCCCACTTCTAGCTGTGTGACCTCAGGCCAGTGAACCCCCTTCTCTGAGCTTCCTTTCTCTGCCTTGTGCTCCGTCTCCCTCATTACCACATTCACAGCAAATATTTTTTGAGGGCTCATCCAGCAGCTGGCGCTGGTCTGAGCGACACGTCACTCCCCCCCCTGGCCCCCCGCCACACACACACACTGTCTTGGGCGTGACGTAGTCTGAAATGTAGTGAATGGTCGGTCAGTCGGAGTAATCACCATGGTCGTTGTTGTTGTTCCCATCGCTCGCCCTCGTGATGGTGTGAAACCCTTGCGGCACCTGCCACTTGGCAACCATTCGTCCCTGTTGTAAAGATGGGGGGGAGGGCAGGGCTGCCGGGAGCCACGGGAAGCCCCCCGCCTCCCGCGACCTCAGCTGTGGGAGCGAGCGGCCGACAGAGGCCGGGGACCAGAAAGGGGATGGGGGCGTCGACCCACGTCCAAACTTCTCTCTGAGCAGTTTTTGTAGGCACCAGGGATGGTTCTTCACCTGGGCCTCAGTTTCCGCTTTGGCCTAGCAGACGGACTAAAGGATGCCTTTTCTAGAAGTGTTGGGGTCTCAGAACCCAGAACCTGAGTCTCGGGACGTTGGAACTGTGTGTGCTTGGGGAGCACTGTGCTGGGCCCCGTTGCTGGGAGGCCTGGGGCTCGGGGGGGCTCACAGTCAGGTAGCCAGTTGTGTACGGACTGGCTGGCTGCATGCCAGGCGCGTGGTGCCCCTCCCCCAGTGCCTTCCGCTCTGCCGGGCAGGTCAGCCCCGGCTGTGGGGCTGCGGCTCCCGTCTGCTGCCAAGGAGGTTGGACTCTTTCAGGAAAGGGCAGTTGTGTCCTGGGCTTGGGGGTGGGGGCAGCATCAAAGTGGCCTGTTGCCGTAGCAACCCTGGCCTCTGTGGGAACTTTGGGGAGAACAGCCCTAGGGCAGTGACAGACAGAGAGTGAGGAGGCAGCCGGGATCTGTCTGTCCGGGACGCCTGGCACCTGC